ACATCAAAAAATATTTTTTTCTCATACACCCGAAAACCATTCAACCTGTAAATTTCTCAGTAGTTGTACATAACATAGTTACTTTGATATATGTAACTATTTTTCATCACTAAAGGAGGCCTTTAAAGTATGTTTTGGAACTTCACCTCAGTTGTATAATCTGGTAATGCTTCCACTGTTTGTTTCACATATAATGAAAACAATGTGATCTGCTGCGATGTGTGTTCCACAGGCAGGGACTGAACCGTTTCATCACGCTCTCGAGAAAGGACGGGAGCAATATCCTGCAATCTCCGGCATCGTTCCAGCTCGTCAAGAATTCGCGGCAACAGATTCAAACCCTTCTGCAGCGGTTCGGTTTGACGAACAAAGAGAGGCAAGAGTTGCTGCCGAGAACCGAACGAGCCGGTCTCTTCAATCCAGTCGATGGTAATGTCACTGACTACGTAAGGCCAAAGTTAAATGGTTTCTTGTTTGCACTGATCCAACCAAGCAATTCAAGGGTGGGTCAGTTGGTAGTTTCAAGTTTCATTTTTGCTTTTGGGGACATACGGTAAATTGTTTGTATTTTTTTCAAGATGAGAGGTATTTCACAGGTCGGCATTGCTAAATTTAATCAGAAAAGAATTTGATGGTGGCCTATCTTTTAGCATGTACTCATTCACTAATGCCTTGTACTTTTAGGGTCACACCAATGCAATATGCTTTGCAGTTTGTAGCTTTCTGACGGTGTTGCTGTCGATCACCCTTTAAGTATCACTTAAAGTGCAGTTACAGTATTGGAATTTGAAATTCCTTGCAATACACGAACCCAAACGTAATAGGTGCATGGCTGCATATTAGGAAGATTGGGGTTTATCGATTCACGGAAAAATATTAATACCACTCTCTAATATCTCTTGCTAGATTCTCTCTTCAGCATCTATGAAATGGTGTTTGCACGATGATATTTTTAAGTCTACGGAAGAGATGTTACTAAGACAACGGGGCGGCTGAACAACGGAATCCCCCAGATCCCGCTGCCGCGTGCTCCGGCGGAATTCGATGCATTTCGGAGCTCGCTTCCGGTCGCTAGCATGCATCCTCTCATCATGCAAATGATCAAAGAAAAACAAGTGGTCATGATAACCGGAGAGACGGGATCGGGGAAAACTACTCAGGTTGGTAGCCGTGGGTCAACGGGTTGGTGGACGGACGTACGTCCCCTTAACAAAGATTCCTAGTTATAATAAAATATGAATTCAATGATATATCTCTTTTTTGCTTGTTCAATACTTTATTCACATCTCACTCGCGTTTCTTATCGAGAATAGATGCTTAGAGAGAGCAAGATCTAGAAGGCAAGAATTTTATTCAAACTTTTAATAAAAAATGAAACCAACTTGACTACAAATTAGGACGTTAATTTTTCCTAGAGGAAAAACCCTCAAACACCTCAGCCTGCACCTCTCCTCACTGCCAAAAAGACCATAACGTTCGTCTTTGAGGATTGACTCTTGTGTGCAGTGGTGGGCTTTCAGGAAACTTCTAGTCGCAGTTGGCGTATGATCCTGAATTTGATAAATTTTGCACAGGGGAGAGATAGTGTTCCGCTAGGGGACGGCTCTGATTGGCAAATTTTGTCTCTTATTTATTTTATTTTTTATTATTTTTGGCTGATTTTATTTTATTTTAGAATTAGGGTTAGGGTTAGGGTTAGGATTAACTGATTTCTATATCCACAACTTATTTATACTAATAATGCGCCATCTAGCAGATCACTATCTCTCCCCTGAGACCTACTAGAATTTGATTTTGCGTAGGTGCCACAGTTTGTGCTGGACGACGCGTGTGAGTGTAAGTATCCGGCACGCATCATCTGCACACAGCCACGCCGTATCGCCGCGCTGACCGTTGCCGAACGCGTCGCACAGGAGCGCGGAGAGAAGGTCGGACAGACCATAGGCTACCAGATACGCCTCGAGAGCAGGTGAGTGCTGGTTCCGTCTCGTCTCATTGCCTCCTCCATATCCCATCCTGTCCATATCCCGTCTTGTCCGTATCCCATCTCATCCCTCTCCCATCTCACCCGTATCCCATCTCATCCCTCTCCCATCTCATCCCTCTCCCATCTCACCCGTACCCTGTCTCATCCCTCTCCCATCTCATCCCTCTCCCATCTCATCCCTCTCCCATCTCACCCGTACCCTGTCTCATCCCTCTCCCATCTCATCCCTCTCCCATCTCATCCCTCTCCCATCTCCCCCGCCCCCTGTCTCATCCCTCTCCCATCTCATCCCTCTCCCATCTCACCCGTACCCTGTCTCATC